AACGTGCTGTGATTCTGTGATTCTGTGATGAAATTGAAGCAAACTCAGAATTACTTTTTGATCCCTTGTCAGCGAAGCCTTCAGTTGCCGTTGTCCAACAAGAACGTTGCTGTTGAGCTTTTTCTGGACTGAATCGGTCTTTTTGCTTATTCCAGTTAAGGTTTGAGCTTCAATTGTCCTCCCTGCTTTTATTTCCATTGGGTTTTAGGGAAGAGGGATGGGTAGACAGCGGGTTTCCCTTTGGGAAGGGTTGTGTCTGTGAGTTGTCAGGCTCAACCTGTAGGATCTCACGTAGGTTCCTTCCCTGCTGCTCTCCCTCCCAGTGCAAATGCCTTCGTCTATGAGCAGATTTCACTTGCTGGGTCAGACCTACCTCGCTTAATGTTTAGGAAGCTCAAGGTTTTCCAAGGTGAAAGAGCCTTCTTGAAAGACAGCAGCAAAGGAGCAGAAACAGAGAGGTTTGTGTAGGAGGGAGAGCAAGTCACTACTTTTCTTCTTTGTTCCGGCTTTAAATAGAAACTTTTTGGAGCTGTTTCCCAAGTGAAATTTGCCATAGAGGGTTTCAGAAGGGGGAAGTTGTAAGATATATCAGAAATAGCTTTTACAGAAGGGTTCTCATGCATCCATCTGCAGACAGATGTGGTCCCAGGGGCCAGAGTGGACATAAATGAGATGGTGGCACACGAAGGCTCTCCCCGTTCCTGCGCGGTGCGGTGGATCTGTCATTACAGAACCGTTTCCTCCTGGCTGCAGCCTTTTCCCAACAGAAAGCAGCTCCTCTGCTGACGCTTCACTGAACCCGTTTCACCTTCTCATTTTGCTGTAGGCCACAGATCTCCACCAGCAAGAAGCGGCCATCGTTGCGTGGCGGATAACGCCAACTTGTACGTGTTTGGAGGCTACAATCCCGACTACGATGAGTCCGGGGGGCCAGAGAATGAAGACTACCCTCTCTTCAGGGAGCTCTGGCGGTACAACTTTGCTACAGACACCTGGCATCAGATGGGCACCGAAGGCTACATGCCCAGGGAACTCGCCTCCATGTCACGTACGTATGGAAATTCAATTCCTGGAGCTATTTTAATCCTTGGTGTCCTCGGTGGCATGCAAAACAGGGCAAGAACTAGGAAATCTGGATCCTGTTTCCAACTCTTCTGCAAATAGCCCTTGAGCTTGGGTTGGTTTTGTGATTTTTTTTTCTCCCCCTTTTCGCTTGGGTTGAGGCAGAGGGAAGTTAAAAATAGTGAAATGCAAGAGGTGATCTTCAGGTATTTGGTTTGATGGTTGCAAGGCACCTGCGCTTTCAGCAGCGAGGTGCTCGGTGCCATCAGACATCTCAAAGCATCCCCAAAATAGTTCTCTTTGTTCACCAGTCATTTTTAAAAGCAGAGGCCTTTGGTTACCATGGTTTTAGCTCGCGTTCTTTCTCTTTCCAGAGCATTTTCAAAGCCGTAGATGCGTAGTGTGAATTGTAGGGTACTGGGACAATATTGAACGCTCGCTGCCTGCTGTCACCGGAGCAGAGAGGTTGTTCTGTTTTACTGCGTCTCACAGCAACGAGCATCTCTGCTCTGTCTCTCTCTCCTAGTTGTATTGCACGGCAACAACCTGCTCGTGTTCGGGGGCACCGGGATCCCCTTTGGGGAGAGCAACGGCAACGACGTTCACGTCTGCAACGTCAAGTACAAAAGATGGGCCCTGCTCAGCTGCCGAGGAAAGAAACCCAATCGAATCTACGGCCAGGTACGAAGGACACCCCTTGTTGAGGCATTTGGGGTGTGCCTGCGTACGCCGCGCTGTGGCATCCCAAAAAAAGGGATCACAGCGTAGACGTTTCTTCCCTGCTGCTAACCAGAGTTGTTCTCTATGTACAGAAGTGTAAGGAAAGGCAGGTATCACAGAATCACAGCACGTTAGGGATTGG